CTGACATCGTCAATCTTAACAATTTAAATAGAAATACCTTTCAAGGCGAAATCATTCCCTTTTCTTCTATATTTGGCTTTAGCTTCCGGCTCTAGTTCAGTTCAAAGCAAGTTCTTGTGTTCCAAGACCAGCTAATCTGTGATAATTAACTAAACTAATCACATCAAGAAATCAGAATTCATGTGATAATCACGTGCACACTTTCCCAACATTAATATCTGAATGTCACCCCTACGGAAAATCGGCTGCAGTTTGATAATTTATATAATTTTAGAAATTGATGTGGTTTACTATAATGCGAGTTAGCGTTTAAATGTCAATTAGAAATAGACAGATTAACTAAACGATAGAAGAAATAATTGAATGGTAAACAAAAGCATAACAAAATGAAAACAAAATTTGCTATCTCACACTCCTTACCCTTTTCGGAAACCGAAGTGATTACATTAATCATTCCTAAACTTCCAATTTTCGTATCGTTACTTTTAACGCCCTCATTATACTAACATTGAATACTTCAGTTTCAGAAACCTTACAAGTAAAAATAAGTCATATTCTTGAATCTTCAGCTTCATCTTTCCTGTTCTGGTTCAACTTACAGAAAGTTTGAGTTCAAAGATCAGCCAGGTTGAGCAGAAGACAAAAGTCATTAGCATGTTATGTGGAATGATGAGATGTGGATACACCAGAATTAGTTGTTTTTTTTATTTTGTTGGGCAAATCTCCAAGGCTTCTTGCAGCATTTAATTTTGTGAAAATGCCTAAGATAAGAATGGTAAAGGAATTATAACTGGAGAAAAAAAAATTAATCACAAGTAGAGAGTTTGGATAGTCCAATTCAATTTAAAATAAACTTTAGAGTAAAATTATTTACTGCAGAAGATAATGGATGTATTCATAATATTATTTGCAAGTCAACTACTTTTAATTGTGACTTACCGTTACTAGCTTGTCAACATTGGATCTTGTCTTCTGTATAACGTTTTAAAATAGTTGTGTTCGCTGGTTGTTGTCAAAACGTCGTTCTTTGAACCCTTATAAAGTATTAAGTATTTCGTATAGAACATATGGATATGAAAGTGGTGAGGACTTTGTACTAACATGAAAAAATATACCACTAATATCAGGATTAATATTTCAGTAAATAAAAGGGAGTTAAGCAAAGAAAACATACACAGAACTATAAAACATCTAATAGACACTTCTCCACCATCTCTCGTGAGCAAACTTATTGAAGCTCATGACAAGGTTTATATTCAAGATACATTATTTAAAAATCACCGATAGGGAAAACTGATGTCAGTCTCATAACTGTTACAAACTTAAAAATATTATAATTAAATAGAATGCGAGATAGCGTTTAAACTTAAAACAAATTTCACAGGTTAACTAAACGATAGAAAGAATAATAAATGAACTGAAAATAAAGTCATAACGAAATAAAAATAGAATTTGCTATCTCACATTCCTTGCTCTTTCGAAAAAGTGATTTCATTAAATCACTAAATTCCCAATTTTCGTATCCTTAATTTTAACGACCTCGTTATACTGACATCATGAATTCTGCCCACTTTAAATACATATCTTACAAAGAAAATTCGTTCTTCTTCATATTGTCTACCTTTCTGCTCTGGTTACGGAAAATCGTCGAGTCCAAATACAAGCTGAGCTGCAATAATTATGTGACTAGTTAGAACAACAGATTAATTCATGTTATCATTATTTACATACTATTTACCAATGTTAAATATCTGTACGTCACCGATATGGGAAACTGGTGTCAGTCCGATAACTTAGAATCTAAAAGTAAATGCGATTAGCTAGGAAGTGAGTTAGCGTTTAAGTGTAAACTATAAATTGACAGATAAACTAAACGATAGAAAGAATAAGTTAACTAAACAAAACCATAACAAAATAAAATAGTTTGCTACCTCACACTCCTTTCGAAAACCGAAGTGATTACATTAATCACTCCTAAATTCCTAATTTTCATATCCTAACTTTTAACTGCCTCATTACACTGACATCATGAATCCTTTACAGTTTCAGTACAGATACCTTACAAAGAAATAATTCATGTTCATGAATCTTCATCTTCTCTACTTTCCTCCTCTGGTTCACTTTACAGGAAGTGTTCGAGTTCAAAGACCACTTACGTTAAGCAGAGGACATACATGACTCTTCAGTACGTTACGTCGAAGGATGAGATGTGGACACACCAGAATAAGTCTTTTATTTTGATGGAGGGGAGGGCGCAATCTGAAAGCCTTCTTGCGCCATTTAAATTTTCTGCAAAGGTATAGGACGATGACCATTTCCTCTGGTGTTTAAAAAAATTCACTGGAAAAATTCATTTTAGAAACCTAAAATTGTCCTATTAACACGATATAACCTAATTTATATAAAAATAGAGTAACACAAATAGTAACTTTGAATAGTTCATTCAGTCTTAGAATAACGTTCAGTAAGATTCACTCTAGAACTTATTTGATGTATTGTTAACGATAGTAGCGAGTTACCTACTTTTAATTTTGCCCGAAGGAGACTAACGGGTACAAGCTTCTCGCTGTAGCTTCCGATGTTTTTCAACGTTGGATATTGCCTTCTGTATAACATTTCTAGATATTTCTGTTCGTTCATCTACGGTTACAGGTAATGTTGGATATTTTGTTTCCAAAAAGTCCTTTTTTGACTCTTTGTAAACTATTAAATAGCCTGCATACAGTGTATGAATGAGCCAGTGGCCAGAACTTTCCACTAACACGAAAGAAAAACATACCATAAATAACAGTTTAATATTTATATAAATAAATAGAAAAAGGAACGGAAGAAAAACGTGTATAAGACATCGAATAATAAC